CCCTAAAACACAGCCTAACACGTACTCTAGCTTAATAAATATCTGCTGAATGAAGGCATGAATGCAAGGTCCAGAATAGTATGTTCTGCCTGGCAGATTTCACATTCAAAATTACTGTGGATATCTTTGTGCAATTAGCAAGGTAGCATCCTGATAAAACATACTTCAGCATGCATGCAAACCACCTGGGAATCTTGTTAAAATGCAGATCTTTTATTCAGTAGGTCTGGAGCAGAGGCCTAAGATTATGAGTTTCCAACAAGCCCCCAGCTGATGATACTACTGAAGGTCTGTGGGCCACAGGATGAGCTCCATGGCCATCATTTACCAGGCAGGGGGTTGGACATCAGAAAGCAATAACCCAATCCTATCCACCTCTCTTCTAATGTGTGGGGAAGCATAGGACTTGGCTGGAAAGTCTGTAAGAAGGATTCGTCGAAAGTTCAGGGGTTTCTGGGGGGACCTTGTCGAAGGCAGCAACCCTTACCTTGACTTTTTCAAACAAGTCCGAGTCCCCAGGTGTTTTGTTGGAATTTTTATGTTTAGTCTTTAAGACCTGACCTTGTAGAAGCATGTGTTTTCTCAAGGATGTTTATTCTGTTGATACTATTTAATAGTTAATTTTAGTTCAAGTTGTTGTTATAATAAAAACCTAAGAAGGCAGGCAAACAAGGCTACTTGGTGGCTATAGCTAAATAGTCCCTTAGTCTTTCTTTCATAGAAACTCATGTCAGAGTAATTATTCATCCAACATTCAGGTCTGCTGGTCAGTCCCAGCAAAGTGACTCCCCATGTGAGGAGCCAGGAACGCAAAGAAATGCAGCAGAACCCTCAAAAACAAAGAGGAAAAAAACAAAAGTAACTGTGCAGTAAGTAATTGGAGCCTGTTTGGGATTTCAAAGTTTGAGGGAATCTTTCTCAGCTAAGTTTTCATAATGGGACAACAGTTGTCCACAGAACAGCAACAAAATATCACAGTGCTGAAACAGTTATTAAAAGCAAATGGTGCCTCTGTTACAGAAGAACAACTAAAAAGCTTATTAAAAATTGTTATAATTTATAATCCCTGTTTCCCTGATGCTGGAACACTAGAGCTTAATCTCGAGGAACAAGTGGGCAAAAATTTAAAAAGAAAGCAAGCCCATCTACTGGTGAAAGAACAATTAGAGTTGGGGTACACAGAACCTTCTAATAGCCCCTGGAATTCTCCTATTTTTGTAATTCACCCAAAATTTAAAAAGTGGAGGCTTTTACATGATTTAAGAGCCATTAATACTAATATTCAACCCATGGGGGCTCTCTAGCCTGGACTTCCCTCCCTGGCCATAATCAAATAAAATTTCCTTTTTTATTTGGGAAACTTGCACTTTAGGAAATTTGAAATTTTATGGCCTGAATTTACTTTGGGGTTTTATGACCAGAACACTCACATACACAGAAAACATCTATGAAATTTCCTTGAGGAAAAAAAAAATACCAAAAAGCTTAGTTTCCCCGTTATCACATGTCAACACTTCCCTGGTCAATTTTAAAGGTGGAAGGTGGAAAAAGCGAGCAAATGGCACCAAAATAACACCTGTGTTTGGGTAGGTGTTGTGAAAAAACATGTTACAGTCTAAAAGGATCAGGGAAACACTTTTCTTCAACACTGCAGCAGCTCCATGGAGACCAGTGCACTAAACAGATGTTTATCCACACAGTAGATTTTAGAAAACAAAGATGTAAGAAATCTTCAGGAAAAGAGGCATCCTTGCAGATGCTGTCACAGATAGTATAAACTGAGGTTACGTCGTCGAAGGCTTATCAAAGTATTAAATGCACATACTCTTCAGTACAATTCTAATGGTAAGATTTTTATCTGTGAATCAACTACAAAAATATGCCAGATATATGAAGGAACATTAGTTGTAACATTGTATATAACAACAAAAATTAAAATAACCTAAATGTTCACAGTAGGGCACTCTTAAATAAATTATGATACAATCACAGAATAAAATACTGTGCACCATTGAAAACAATGACAAGATACACATGCTTAAGTGAAAAAAAGCAAGATACAGAACAAGAAGTAGAGTGTGAACCCATCTGTATATGTGTATGCATGTATGTATTATATACGTATGAATACGTACATAAAGGGTTTAGAAGGTTTTTAGCTTTCTTTTTTTTTGTTTTTGATTCCTATATAGATACACAAGAAAATATAAAGAGTGGTCACACCTTTAGGGAAAGACTTAGGGGTTAGTATGTGTGTCAGTAGGTACAAAGAATTTGCATTCTTATTTTAATCCTTGTCTGTGCTATTTGATTTTTTAACTATGTGCCTATATATTGAAAGATACAAATAAATATTTTTGAAATTCAATGAATACAGAGAAAATATTTAGTCTAGGAATACATCATTGATAGATATTACTATCAGCATCTAAAAATTATTTGATACCTAAGATATTAAGTTATTGTCTCAAAAATAGATGTCTAGAAAGCATCCCTCTTTTCATTAGTTTGATGTTTTATTTCATCTTCCATGCTATTTTGCTTGGTTGACTAAAAATGTCAGTTGTAAAATTATAAGGTTAACAGAGAAAGTAAAGGATGTTACTGACATTTCAATCAAAAGTCAAACATAATTATAGTGATAGAACTCAAACAGGATTGAACCCCTTTCCCTCCATAGTGAATGCAGCCACAGATGTGAACCTGCTTACTGTATTAAACTATTAAATTTAACTAAAGAAAATTGACACTATAACTGGCAATGGGCCCCAAACTGACAGTACAATGCAGAATTCATCCTAAATGTGTGTCTTTTCAATGATCCTATAAAGTAATTATATGTTCCAAACACCTCAAAACTCAAATTAGTAACATGATTCTTTGAAATGTCATTTCCTTGCTATTGATCAAAGAAGTCCATTTGCATGAAGATGCCATTAAATGCCAGGAACATCATTCAACAGATAGTTTTAGAAATCTAGCTACACAAAGCACCACATTAAAACAGCACCTATTTAAATGTTGAGCAGTTTTGGAGTTTAAAAAAGGTAAAATCCCAAAGTGGGATGGAAACAATGGTAAAAGCATTAGCATTAAGTCAAAGCTGGGTTGGGCTCTAAGAGAAAACTGGAATTTGTGCCAATACGGAAGAGACAAAAGGTTAAATATTCATGTTGTAGGGGGGCAAGATAACTGAAGTGCTGAGAAGGGGCAGTAGTAATTTAAAGAGAAATCATACTAAGAAAAAGTAGAAAATATGTTGGATAGGAGAGGTGTTTAAATATTAAATTTAAACAATTAATAAACATCCAGCAGCCATTATCAATTATAACTACAGCTCTATTAGTAGGTAAGACATATCTAGCTATTTCCCTAGGACAGTGTTTCTCAAACATGAGCATGTATCAGAATTACTTGGAGGGCTTGGTAAACTATAATCTACTAAGCCCCACCCCCAGAGTATTTGATTCACAGAGTATGGAGTGAGGGACAGGGGTTTGCATTTCTAACAAGTCCCCAGGTGATGCTGTTGCTGCCAGTCTGGAGACCACAGTGATGCTGGAGAATCACTATCTAAAAATAACTTGGAATACATCAAATACCCTGTCTCCTCAGAGGGCATGACACAGCAAACCAAAAATACTGAGAAGAATGGCATCCTCACAAGCTTGAGACAGGTGTTGGCCTTCCCAAGTCTGGTCCAAGCAACCTTGATACACTTGGAGCACTCAACTCTCATGGGCCTGGTCTATGAGATGAAACTAATCTGGACCTTAAGGGGCACTGGACCTCAGCCCCAAGTTAACCACCTCAACTCCCAGTGAAGCTGATTCTGAAAAAATAGCTCTATAGTTTGACACAGAGCTATATTTAACATCTTAAAACCAAACACCAACCACATCATTGCTTGACAGGTCTCATTTAATGCATGGAGTTCATCACACCACACCTAACCTGGCATTGAACCAAAGAAAGTACAGCACTGTGCCACTTCACCAACTGTAATGTGTAAATGTGTAACCACAACCCACCTGAAGACCCTCAAACCCACATCCAAGTAAATAATGAGAGCCCAAGAAACAGTGAGAACGTTCTAATGGTCCACTAATCCCAAAACAGTTACAACAGAGGTCTCCTGGTCACTTCTGCCCACCTTGAAATTTGTGGGAATACAAAAAGTTGTCATAAGGAAACAGCACTCATACCTAGAGGCATGTGCATATTATACCCTCTAGTTGTTGAGATGTCCCTGTGAGTTGTATTTAGATACAATTAACATTTAAAGACTAGACTCTGAGCGAAGCAAATTACTCTCCACAATATGGATGAGCCTCATCCAATCAGTTAAAGGCTTTATTAGAAAAAAAATATTGACTTCACTTGAGGAAGAGGGGATTCTGTCTCCAGACTGCCTTGGAATCAAGACTGCAATGTCAACTTTTTTCTGGGTCTCCACCCTGCCTTCAGACTTGGCAGCCCACAGAAATTCATGAGTAAAATCTTTAAAACAAATCTCTCTCTCTCTCTCTCTCTCTCTCTCTCTCTCTCTCTCTCTCTCTCTCTCTCTCTCTCTCTCTCTCTCTCTCTCTCTCTCTCTCTCTATATATATATATATATATATATATATATATATTCATTCTCATCAAGTAGGGACAGAAATTGTGAACTGCACTTGTCACAGGACTGCCAACTACTACTACCAGTTCTATTTCTCTAGGAACCCTAATAAATACAACCCTCTGAAGTTTACAAGCTCTTTCCCTTATTCGACAGTGATCAATCATCTCCATCTTTTTAAAATTAAGATTACCTTTTAAAATATACCAGACTGAAATGAAACTTACATTCTATTCCACTGTACATAAAAGTTGATCAGAAAAAAACAATTTTCAGTGATTGAAAAAAGCACTTCCATGTAGTTATACAAATTCTACAATTACAGGGTGAATTTCCACATTGAGTACAAACTCCGAGAAAGAGTCCAGAAACTGACATCTTACCAAGCTTCCATCCTGATTCACATTCTCTTTGGAATCCATACTAAGCTTCCTCTTCCTATTGGGCTGTTTCATTGCTACTTCAGCACTCCTTAGTAGTTTGTGTCTTTCTGCAAAATAGTGCCATATGAAAAGTTCAGGGGGGTTTGTTCCCTTAGAGGTACAAAAATAAAAACAAAACAACATGTTTTCAATTATACTTTTTACTAGAGGCCCGGTGCACAAAAATTTGTGCACTCGGGGGTCCCTCAGCCCAGCCTATGCCTTCTTGCAGTGTGGGACCCCTCGGAGGATGTCCACCCCAGTGGGGACCCTCACCCCATGGAGGTTTGGCCAGCCTGGGTGAGGGGCTGATGGCTGTTTTCAGGCTGGCCACACCCCCTTTAGGGTGGGGGTCCCCACTGGGGTGCCTGGTCAGTCTGGGTGAAGGGCTGAGGGCTGTTTTCAGGCTGGCCAAGCACCCTGGTGATGTAAGCTCCCAGCCTCTCCTTTTTTTCTTTTTTTTTTTTATTCTGGGATTTATTTACCTCCTATAATTGAAACTTTGTTGCCTTTAGCGGAGGCCTGCGGAAAGCTTGGCTTCCTCCATCACCAGGAGCAACCCACTCTTGCTCGCTCCAGCTCCGTAGCCACGGCTGGCTGAAAACAGGTATCTGGGATTTGTTTAGCTTCTATAATTGAAACTTCATTGCTTTCAGCGTAGCTTAGAGCCAGGCCGCGGCAGGCGGGGAACCTTGGCTTCCTCCATCACTGGAGCAAGCAAGCCTCCTGCTTGCTCCAGCTCTGTGGCTGCCGGCTGCCATCTTGGTTGGGTTAATTTGCATATAGTCTCTCTGATTGGCTGGTGGGCGTGGCTTAAGGTGTAGCAAAAGTATGGTCAATTTGCATGTTTGTCTTTTATTAGTATAGGATTATTGGTTGCCATAAATACTCTGATAAATGAGCTGACAGAAAAACTGTTGGTTTTATAACCCCCTAGTGTAACAATAAGTTAATGGGGAAAAGAGATGAGTTTTCCATCTCATTTAGAATTTATATCAAAAAGAAAATAGGTGCCCTAGCCAGGCTTGGCTCAGTGGACAGAGCGTCAGCCTGAAGACTGAAGGGTCCCAGGTTCGATTCCAGCCAAGGGCACATGCCCGGGTTGTGGGCTCGACCCCCAGTGCGGGGCATGCAGGAGGCAGCCAATCCATGATTCTCTCTCATCATTGATGTTTCTATCTCTCTCTCCCTCTCCCTTCTTCTCTGAAATCAATAAAAATATATTAAAAAAAGAAAATAGGTGTTCTTTCGTTTGGTCTTATCTACCATGAATTTTTTGTGGTTTGACTTTTACTTAGCTGATCTAATCAATTAGAATTCACTGCAATCTGCATATACAGCTCTGTACTCACATGGTCTGATTGTCCTCAAGTATCAAAGCAAAGGTATTCTTGGTAAGAGGTCTTAGTCATACAAAGCATAGCACAGCAATCTGGAACAGAGAAAATTTCAAAATGATTATGATTCCATTTTGTCATGACCATTCTTCAGTTCATTAATAAATAATTGTAGACATTCTTCGAAAAATTATTTTGAATGAGTTTTTTGATAGAGCAAGTGAACCATTTTGGAGAACCAATCACTAGTACTATATAAGTACAATTGAGCTGTAATTCAAAAAGTCATTCACTTTGAATAATTTTAACTACAGTTGACATGTACTTTTTTAAAGGTCTAATGTACCTAACTCATCTATAGTCCCCAATATTTTAGAATCATATATCCAACTTCATCCCTGGTATTTCCATCTGAACAAATGACCCTAAATACTACAAACTGAACATATTCACAACTGAATTCATCATTTCCCCTCTTACTGCCTCCCAGTTCTACTCTCTCTTCCTAATTGCACTAATGACACCATTGGCCACTCATTTACCCATATCTGCCCCTTACAATTGCCCATAATGGGCAATACACAAGAGCACCAAGCTAATGGGCGATGGAAGCTGAAATCTATCCTGAGCTCTGCACACATGCCATTTCCCCTGCTACAGGGTTATTATATTTGCCAGGAAGAAACTGCATCTTTTTTCTAATTCAAACAAAGACAACTTTGGGGCTAATGGACACCCTGATTTTGCCTGAACTAGAGACCTAGGAGTTAACATCATTTCATCCTGTACATTACACCTCACACTCGGTCACCAGGTTCTGCTGATTTTATCTATTAAATATTTCCTGAATTCCTCTCCTCGCTGTATTCCTAATAACTCCCTGACCACCTCCAATCTTATGCTCTAGTCAAGGCTCAAGTCTTACAGTCCCTTGGAATACTGACATGCCTGCTGCTTCCCAGATCCACACTTTTGCTGGTCTCTCAACCTTGGAATAACTTCCCTACTACTCACCCAGCACCATTTAAACCTCTTTCCTACTCATCTTTTATGACTCAACTAAGATACTTCATATCCTTGAGAAAAGCCTTCCTTGCTTACCTCCTACTTCCAATGGACCAATTATGTCTTACTTAAAATTCATTGTACCCATACTTATCTTTGCCACAGCATTCAACACTTTATACTATATTTTAATTTTCAGATGTGTTTACCCTTGAGACAAACATTGTGAACTACTGATCTTTATTTTCCACTGTCTAGATCAGCAATTTCAACCGCAAGAATTTTTAAAACATGCAATACCTGACTATTTAGTGAGGAGCACTGACCTCTTTTCCCTTCAATTGTTAAGTTAAAAAAAATGACAACAGCCAACACAGCAATGGCTGTCCAGTGTGAATGAATCAAAATTATATCTACTTTTTTTTTGTCAGATTGGCAAAAATACAATGTATTTTTTGGTGTGCCACAGAATTTTAGTAATTAGTTTATGTGTGCCACGAGATGAAAAAGGTTGAAAATCACTGCTCTAGATGGTAATTGGCTCACAGCAGACTCTCAATGTGTTTGTTCCAACTGCATAAGTATGTCTGAATTACAGAGCCTCAAACGCCTTAGGTACATTGGATATTAGTTTTTGATCCATACATTACTCTTTAGAATGCTGTATGACTGAAGTGAGCATAGGTCTCAAACTTAACTCCTTTCCTTTTTTCTTTCATATAAAACAAACGAAAACACTTCCTCATATTGATTTGCTTCTAGTCAGATATTTTTATCCTTAAAACATGTACTTACCTACTAAATTCAATAACATCGCATTCATTTTGTAGAATGTAAATACAATTTATCATGCCTAGCTGCCAGTAATACTCTGAACATCTATGCAAATGAACAGCTTAGACTTGCTGCCTTTAGCAAAATATGATTGCACAAGACATAAGCACTGCCAAGGCCGGCTTGCATTTCATAACTAATAATACCCCAGGGCTTGACAAAGTTGGATATGAAAAATTTAAAAACCTTTGCAATTTAAAGTGCAGCCAATAAGATAAACAAACCTGATACACTTCTAGCTAGACCAACAAACAAAATGAGAGATAATATTTAAATCACTAAAATCAGAATGAGAGAGGTTACATCAATAACGATCTTACATAAATCAAAAGGATTATAAGGAAAAACTATGCTGAACTTCTTTACCTATTTAAACCATCAAATTAGTAACTCACAGCCAGAGCTAGTCTTTTCTTTCAACATCTCTGACAAATTTTTGCTTATAATCCACTATAATCTTATGAGGTCCATCATTGACCAAAACTTCGGTGTGTGATACATGACTGTATGTAAAAAGTCCTAAAGAATCAACTAAAAACTAGTAGAACCACACACACAAAAATACTAGAACTAATAAGTGAGCTAAGCAAGGTTGTAGGTTACAAGATCAACATACAACCATTAGTTGTATTTCTATACACAAACAATAAGCCAAGATAAATTTTTTTAAAATGAGACAAAAGAGATAAATTGGCCCAGTACTGTGAAAATGGCAATAATTCTGAAATTAATTTATAAGTTAATGTAATTCTAGTCAATATCCGAATATTGTCTTATTATTAAGGCAGTGTGGTACTTGTACAGAGATAGGCTAATAGACCAATGAAACAGATAAGAAAGCCCTGAAATAGAAAGGTATACATGAAAACTTTATTATCAGAGGAGTTACAATGTCAACTGTGGGCTTTTCACATATGGCCTTTACTTTGTTGAGATAATTCCCTCTATTCCTAGTTTGTCGAGAGTTTTTATCATGAAAAGGTTCACAATTCCATCAAATGGTTTTTCTGCATTTATTGAGGTGATTATGTGATGTTTACCTTCTATTAATATAGTGTATCACATTAATTGATTTTGTATATTGAACCATCCTTTTATACAAAGGATAAATCCCATTTGGTCTGGTGTATGATCCTTTTAATGTGCTGTTTGATTCAGTTTGCTTGTATTTTGTTGAAGATTTTTCCATCTGGGGTATTAGCCTGTGGTTTTCATTTATTGCAATTTCTATAATTGGCTTTGATATTGGGGTAATAAGAATGAGTTTGGAAGTATTTTCTCTCCGTTTTTTGGGGGAGAGTTTGAGAAGAAATGGCATTTATTCTTGCTTAAAATGTTTGACATAATTCACCAATGTAGCTATTTTGTCTTGGGCTTTCTTTTTGGGGGTTTTTTGATTTGAACCAATCTCCATAGCAGTTATAAATCTGTTCAGATTTTTTTTCTTCATAATTTAGTCTTGGTAGGTTGTATATTACCAGGAATGTATCATTTCTTCTAGGTTATATAGTTTGTTGATGCTAATTGTTCATGATAGACTCTTTATGATACTTTTTATTTCTATGGTATCATTGCAATATTTTCTCTGTCATTTCTGATTGTATTTATTTGAATTTTCTCTGTTTCTTAATTAGTTTAGCTAAGGGTTTGCCAAATATATTGTTATTTTATCATTTCAAAAATCAACTCTTAGTTTTATGAGGGGTTTTTCTATGTTTTTCCTATTTCTTCCATTTTGTGTGTTTCTGCACTTATCTTTGATATTTTCTCCCTTCTGCTAACTTTGGGCTTAGTTTGTTCTTCTTTTTTATATCCTTGAGATACAAATTTTGCTTATTTGAGACTTTCACTTTGATGTAGATATTTATCACAATATACTTCCATCGTAGTATTGCTTTTGCTGTGTCCCATAAGTTTTGATACGTATTTTCATTTGTCTCAAGGTATTTTCTAATTTCCTTTTTTATTTCTCTCTTTATCCGTATGGTTGTTCAAGAGTGTGTTATCTAATTTCCACATATTTTCCAGTTTTCCTTATGCTGATGATTTCTCCTTGCACTCCACTGTGATTAGTAAAGATACTTGGCATGATGTTTTTTAATTTTTTAAGACTTGTGACTATCATTTGGCCTATCCTGGAGAAAGTTCCATGTGCTCTTAAGAAGAATGTATATTCTGCTGCTGGAATATTCTTTGTATCTATTATGTCCATTAGATCTACAGTGTTGCTGAAGTCCTCTGTATCCTTGTTGATATTATCCTGATTGAGTAGCCCTTTTATCATTCTTTGTCTCTTATGACAATTTTTTATTTAAAGTCTATTTTGTCTGATAAAAGTATAGCCACCCTATTCTTTTTGGGTTACCATTTACATAACATATATTTTTCCATTCCTTCACTTATCTAAGTAAGAATTCTTGACTCTCTTATGACAGAATGATACATCCTTACTCTTGCCATGTCTCCATTTGGAATGAACGCATTTAACTTGAGCTTGGTCTACACTTTCTTTGGCCAATAGCAGATGCAATGTGAGCTGAGACTTGAAACGTGCTTGTACAGCTAGTCTTGACCTCGTTGCACTACAACTATCCTCCATTAAAAGAGCATGCTTTAGTTATTCTTTGCTCCTTCAGAGTGGGTCCCAGAAGGAAAACAAGTAGAGCACATCTGAACATTTTCACATCCTGCAGCCAACCCCAGCATGTTAATAGCCTGGAGCTTTTTAAAACTATCTAGGCAAACCCAGCCTAGATCAGCTCAATCACAAATCACCCAAAGATTTATTCATGTGTAAATAAGCATGTGTTGTTTAAAAACATTGAGTTTGGGGATGGCTTGTGATGCAATATTTTTGGTAGGTAAAGCAGTCAGATGTAAAAATGCATACGGGGGGAAAACAGCAAACTATAAATAAGCATTTCACACAGAAATTTATGAAAAGTTGCTCAACCTTGCTAGTAATCAGGGAAATAAAGAATAAAATCATACTTAGATACCAATTTGTGGTCATTAAATAGCAAAAAATAAGAACTCTGACAATATTAGATGTTGGCAAGGTTGAGGAGTAGGGGAACTCTCATATTCTGCTGACAGAAGATAAACTGGATGAACTACTGGAAAACAATAATTTGGCCTAAATATGAAAGTTGGAGGTGATACAACAAATCCCATGACCCCAGGACTCCTGCACTCACACTCTATTAGAAGACAAGCTCATATTAATAGGAGGAAAAAATGGGTGAAAATCCAAATA